CCAGCATACACCTTCCGGTCGTATGAAACAGGTCAAAATTTGTTCAAATACGCAGATAAAAATTTTTGTTTTGAATTTCTGTATAGCAAAATAGTGAACTTTTCGTGAACATTAACGGCAAAGAACTCACCAACACTGGGAGACCGTGAGTTCCTGCCCACCTGTCATAAAACCGTCTTGATCCATGGCCACTTACGCTTGGCGTGTTTAGTATAGGTGACAGCATCATGGACCTCATTTTCCAGGAACACCTTCAGCACACCTCGTAGATCAGACCGGAGATACGTTTGACACCACCACGGTGAGCCAGACGACCGATGGCGGTTATCTCGAAGAACTTTGCGATGACGCTTGGCGCCTCCTTTACCACGACCAATCACAGTTAATTGTTGCTTGTTAGGTGTAAAGGAGTGGACTAGCCACCACCTTCCTATTGCTATTCACCACGGTCCAAAGCGAAAATGAGCTAATTCCATACAGCAGCGCTCTTTTATATCTTTTCAGGTTAAAGCAGAATGATGTGCAACCAAGTGGTATAAAAGCTACAAAGACTCCTCCCATTATGAGTAGTTTGCTATCAAGTAGCGACACTGGCTCTTTTCCTTTTGCGTACACGGCGAATGAGAACGACCCAAATTTGAGTTTAGTTCACTCATAATCGCCAAAAGTGCAGGAACTCAGCGATGTGTAAATTTCATGGTTTCCTGTGGAAAACCTAAAAAATCTGCCAGAAAATGAGGAAATTGACGAAAATTTTATTCAGCCTCGGAGTAGTACCAATAGACTGAGTGAATCCAATCTTTACTTCTCAAATTCGGGAGTTTTCCCTGGAAAATCCTAGAAAAACCTGGGAAAACACGAGGCAAATTTACTCATCGCTGAGTTCCTGCACTTTATTTCTTATTTTGGAGATAACTAATCTCAAATTTGGGTCGTTCTCATTCGCCGTGATATCACCTTGAAAGATATCGGCGCCGGTGGTTAGCGTGATTACCTCTCATCCCAGCAGGCCTGGGTTCAATCTCAGTCGCACCGGCATGTTCTGAGGCATAACATATCTGATCCCACCTTCCTTCGGGAAGTACAGCCGTTGGTCCCCTGTTCATGAGTTGATGGGTCGATATGTAGGGTCCAGGTGTAGGAGCTGCCTCCCTGGCGTCGGTAGCATTGGAGCTCAGTACGGAAAACACTCAATAGGTCCTATCTACATTGATCGATTCGCTTCATCGACACTCTCTTTCGTAAATAACTCGACTTCACAAATGTTTCCTGCCGTCTTCGTCGAATTAGATGCTGGATTGTTGCTTCTTCCATCGACAATATCCGGCCGTGGCGATTCAAAGTTGATCAAGGTTGATCAAAATAATTTGTACCCCTGCTTCCAGTTTGATTACATGAGCATTTTGTTTGGTCGTTGGTTCTGAATATGGACAAACAGGCAGTTGAATTCTATTCCTACTCTTTACTGTAATAAGCTTGGTGGCCCTGAAAAGAGCCGTTTTGTTGCCAAAGTTGGTGATGATTTAACCTCCGAAACCAAACAGAGTGCGTTTCTGTCACTTCAAAACGTAGATGACATCCATGGCCGCTTACGCTTGGCGTGTTTAGTGTAGGTGACAGCATCACGGATCTCATTTTTCAGGAACACCTTCAGCACACCTCGTAAATCAGACCGGATATACGTCAGACACCGCCACGGCGAGCCAGACGGCGTTTGGTTCTGAATATGGCGATGAGTGTGCAAAATATTACGCAATTCCATCCTCCCTATTCGCACGTGCCCGAGGATCGGAGACGAATGCCACTTCGACTTGTTTCGTCTACTTACTACTCTCTGACGACTGTGCTGGGGAAGCAGCATATGCATGTAGGTAATTGGTGGATTTGTTAGTTAATTCGACGCTTTTGGACAATGCTGGACATTTACACGTTTTTCAATAGTTTCTTGTTTAAAATCAACATTCGGAAGCATTGTTATCGATGCGTAGCCATATTTCTGATCGATTGGTGATAAAATTATTGAAATTGAACCAGGGGCAGCTGAGTTATTAACGTTCAAAATCTTTCTTAATTTGTTACATGTTCCATTTTCGGTTTTCACAAAGTGTACCCCCATATAGTAATCAAAGACGTAGTCCTACGTCAAAAAACAGAAACCGAGCCGTGAGTCGGATTTTTTCAAGATGCAAGGAGCATTTCATCGTTTTAATATTGTTCGATAAAATTCTTCACTTCCAACAATTTTCTGCATACAATACAGGGTAATATCCAAAAATCATGTTTCCAAAGTTGTTTATTTTTAATTGCGACCTTTCACTGGGTATGGTTGATCATTTCGAATGGTAAAACACTTCTCCTTAGCATAAAATAAATTACGAGATCAGTGGTCAAAGTCACCCCGTTTTGCGGTACATATGAACATATTTAAAGGAAATCTACGAACCAAGTTCAGCGGAGAATGCCGTACAGTACAACAGCAAAAAAAAAACAAACAAACAAACAAAAATACCCGTCACAATCCGAAATTACCGGCTGGTGCCTTAGTTTATTTTTCTCTTTTGATCTGGTTTCCGATGTCGCACAGTGTTCACCTCAAGAGCGAGATGATTTCTTGTGAGAGTTGTATCTTCTTATTAGGATTATTTTTTCACCGCTATTCGTACGCGTGGCAGCCTCTTATATTTGCAAACCGTCCCGTAAAACACCATGATGTTATATATGCTTTTCATAGCCACAGCAAATCGTTGTCGGTTGGGAAAAGGGTAGTTTATTTGAGCATTAGGACTATTAGGAAGAAGAATACTTCACGTTTCCGGTGTTGATATTTTTTGACTTGGAACTCGAAAAATAGTGTTGCCAGTTTAAAAAAAAAGGAAGAGGTTGTATGCAAGACACGACCGTAGATTTGACGTAGGATTACGTGCTCGGTATCAATATTCGGCGACTGTGTTAGGGAAATCACTTTTTCGCAGGCAATCTGTGATAAGTTTGATTGCCATTGCAACAGTTGGATATTTGTGTAATTTTCAATAGTGACCTGTTGAAAATGGATAAAATGTTCATTTGAGCAGATTCGTAGAAAAATTTCCAATCGATTGGCGTGTTTAGAATTAAAACTCATCCGCTATTGCCAAAGCTATAAGAGGTCAAAACCTGACCACTTTTCGTAACGCGCTTTGGTTTTTTTGAAATTTCACCCCCAATATGTTGCCGAAAGACGTAATTCTACGTAAAAAAAAACGGTTGCACTAAACTTGCTGTCACCCTGTTGACAGAGGAGCGTGTGATTGCAACCATCAAAGAAGACTTCGATGAACAATTCTTCACTGAGTGCGACGGCCTGAGGCAGTTGAAGCACAGTCTTGACTTCTGCACTAACTCCCTACGGTCAGTGACGCTTGAGGCCTTGAAGGATTCACACTGATAGATCTGATGCTGTTCCGAGGAGCACTTGGGGCACAGTTGGGGTGCAAATAACTTTGAAACGTTTTCTCTATCGTGGTAAGTACAGGCTTAATTGGAGGATTGATAAGGCCAGACGACACCTAGAGAACCTCAGGGATATGTGTACACACTTAGTTTTTTCTACCGAGCTCGGCTGTGCAAATCTCGGCAAAAAAAGTTTCACTGAGATCTCAGCAACAATGACGTTTGATTGCTGAGTCTCGGATAATGCTTAGCTGAATCTCAGCAAACAAATGAAATGATTGCTGAGATCTCAGTGAAACTATTTTTGCCGAGATTTGCACAGCCGAGCTCGGTAGATAAAACTAAGTGTGTAGGATGATTATAAAGCATGTGTTCCAACTATGGCACTTTCCCATACAGGCAATGGAATCATATCAGATATGGCCCTAATCCATTTAAATCCCATCAAAACTGGCAACTTTTTTTAAGTAGCCTCACAACCTGCTACAAAATAACATTCTATTTTGGAATCCCAACATTTTTAAAGAAATTAGCATAATTAGGATAAACCCACTCATTATTCAAAAAAATCCATTCTCACTTTTACGGCAGAAAATCATAATTCTCCTGCCAGCACTGACCCAAGAAAGAACCGCGAGGAAAGAGCACACAAAATTACGCTAGTAAATGCCGAGCACGGAGAGGGCAAAATACAGACGTCTCTGTTATACACGCTACGTGTGCTATGCTAATAAACATATGCATAAACCAGAAATTCATGTTCTATCGTTTCTTGAGCTCTTGAGCATATACCTACATGCCACGCCACCCGAAACGCGACGACTATCGACGCCTTTGGATTATTGAGTAATGCTTTCTTGGGCAGGCAGCTCGACAAACTTTCAACTACATTCATTGGCGTGGCTAATCGGGGTGCCTGCCCCCTCCAGAATTGTTAATACCGACATTTTAATAATATAAATCTTCAAAACATGCTGGAGGGGGCCAGGCACCCCCATTAGCTACGCCAATGACTACACTGCTCTTCTGGCCACAATCGCGCAATCCATTTATCAATCGGAAAGTTTCCCTACTCGTACTTGACGGCTGTTGTCACACGTAAAATGCTGCTTTGAGTGTTCGTAAGGTAAATAGCTTGCAAACACCGCCATCGGTCCGGATAGGATGATGATAATTACGATAATTACCACCGACCTGATTGGGGATCTTATTGCTACACAGCAATTGAAATCCACAATTTGCGTGGCTATGCTATCCAAGACCAAGATGTTGGCTCTTGGTGTAGATTTTCGGTCGACCGGTGTGGGCACAGGCGCGTTACGTTCCTGCTCTGTCCCTTACCCGATCCATTTAGCTCGATAGTAAACTGGTTACTACACACCTAGCGGTGGGAAGGTACCGCGCGGAGGGGCATCCCATTCAGCAATCGCGCGCATCACGTTACATAATTTTTCTTCACTAAACATCGTATAATTTTGAAAATAAACAATTCGCATTCCACTGACCGGGGTGGGTTTATCAGTTGCGAGATGACAAATTCGCGAAATAAGAACGTAACTAAGCGCACTGACCTGGCGGAGGAATGTGATCGGCTGTTGTCCCATGGCGTGGCAATCACCAATGTTGGCTCGGATGACTTCCTTGAACGGTTTCTTGGCGCCCTGGAACGGAAACACCCAAAAGGTGATGAGCAAATTTATGCATCCATTGTGACGCCTCAGCGAACGAACTTCCGTCACGAGAAGCAAAATCGATACGACACGGGGACGGTGTGTGTGTGTGTAAGGAGGGGGAACGAATCGTACATACCTGCTCCAGTTCCTTCTCGATGGCACCAGCCCGGATCACGAGCGGACCACGGACGGCGTATTCCATCAACTTGATGGCCGGATTGATGTTATCCAGCGTGATGCATTGTTTGTAGACGCAGGGTGACGTCGACATGTTTCGCGTTTCTGGCTGCTGGCCGCTGACGGTCGATGATAGCAGTAATGTTGATACACGGCCCACACTTCTCCTAGCTACTGCTGTTCCACTGCCGATGGCTGGTACTAGTCCCAGTCCAGCGATGGCACTCTTTGGGCAGACGTTCAGAACTTGACTGAGCGACATGGTTGCTATTTTCCGCAGTGGAAGGCCCCTTGTGGTCTGATGATACGTTTGTGTGCGTTTGATGTCGCTCTCGGGAGCGGGATGAGAGAATCACGTGGTTGTTTTGTTGGTTGTTTGACGGCGGAGCGTAGCTGTTGTTGTTGTTTACAAACACTATCACCTCTGCTCCTTCGCTGCTGGATCGACGATGACACAGATTACTGTTAGGATTTTTGGAAAGAGAGAGAGAGAGAATGATAAGAGAGGGTTAAAGAGCATTTTTTTCAGTGGGGAGTGGGTTTTGGTGAGTCGTGAGAAATACGATTCTATACACGCATTCGTGGTCCTAATGGATTTGTGGGTGTGAGATGTTGCTGAAAATTTTAAATACTATACTGAAACGTATGAATGAATAGGTATTTTCGTGGAAAGCCGGAGAGTGTGATGTGCACACTCTTTCAATCTTACCCAAAATGTGGGTAGCTTTGTATTGCTATCTCTTTTTCTCTCATTGAAATCTTATCCATAATTCAGTTAATTTTGGGTAAGATTGAAATTGTGTGATGTGTTGTGATCAAGATCTTTCCAGTGTACAGGTTATGCGACTTGCTCAGTTGTGGGCTAAAGCAGCGCGGGGATGAGGAAGGTACAAAAACACGTGGTTACCAATTTAAAGGGACAAAACTCGACTAGCGCTTTGGTGTTATATTGGAATACATTTTAGTTAAAAGACACGATTTAAAGGGACAACACTGTCAAAATGACCACTTCGTTATCTTTGCAACTAAACCAACCAGCCTATATCTTCCAGAAGCCTTGGTTGAAACCAAGTTTTTTCCGACTTCAAGCAGCCTATCAAGCATTCTAGGAATGCTATGTGCTTTGTCCCTTTAAATAGTATCGTTAGCAATGCATTCCAATGCATAACACTAAAGCAATAGTCGAGTTTGGCTTTCACGAATTTCCCTGCCTTCGTTCTCCTTGCGCTGCTTTTACCCAAATACTGACGATTCTGTTTAACCTCCTAGCTTGACAAATCTTGGTTGTTGATATTGACCAACATAAAAAGACGACAATATAGTATTAATGCGAAGACAACATATCAAGAAGACTGGCAAATTTTCCTGAATCCAAGCGACAGACACAGTAGCGCTGCGCTCGAGCGAAGGTGGAAGCAACGCATAGAAAAATTAGCAAATACACAAACCTTTCTTCTGAGGATGGAACCACAGACAAACAGACATAACTCTCGCAAGTTGTTCATCGAACAAGCATTTAACGGACAATTTAAAAGTATCGTAGTTAGTAGTAATGCCACCTGTGGCGCGCATAATTAATTCCCTTGCGTTTGACGTTCACACACTACCGACATCTGTTCAGTGTAGCGCCCACCACAGTGTACTCAACAGATGGCGGTAATGTTTTTGCGACGATGTTTTACAGTGAGAAATATTCAATGTGTTATGTCTGTTTGTCTGTAATGGAACCTTCGCTATCCAATTCGTTCGGAGCATTTACCTTTGAGCGGCAGATGACGCGATTGTGCCTTTCTCATACCGGTCGTTTGAGAAAATGGAAGAGTTGCCAGTCTTCTTGATATGTTGTCTTCGATTAATGGTTAAGTTTCCAGTAATGCGTAAAATTTCACTATCGCTTGAAACGACATTCAACATGCCGAATATAAAATATAAATTTGGAAACTTATCTGTAATCCACCGACAAACCGACATGACGCTTAGTTCTGACTTATGCCCGAAAATCGCTGACGGCCAATTTAAATGTGCAGTAATCCGAACTGTCAAAACCATAGGATTTTTTGATCTAGATAAAAATAATTTGTCCAGAATAGATCAGACACGAACCAATTCATAACTTCTGCATGCGGATTCATGGATTAACTAAATATTCCCCGCGAACACGGAGCTAGATGTCAGTAGTGTTCTTTGATCAGAAAATTTATTGTTTTTGCTATGGTCATTCATGTCGGTTTGTCGGTGTGAAATCCATCCGTTTCCATCCATTCATATTACTCTACTAGAGGTACTACTGGATGATCTAAGTCAGCATTTCTCAAACTATGAGTCACGGCCCACCGGTGGGTCGCAGGAGGTTGGTTAAACGTGTTTAGAATTTTATGGAAAATTGATCTAAATTTAAAACAACTTCAAGATTATTATAATTGAACTATAGTAAGAGACAATTTCAAGCCAAACAATGGATTAGGTCCTAAGTAACGTTAACAGATTCTCTTCGTCGATTTTCGATAAAAATCATAGAAATCTTCAAACAAATTGTATATATATTTTTTTTTTTCATTTTGTTTATTTGGCAGGCTCAAATGTTAAAAGAATAACTTAGCGGAGCCGAGTAACATGGAATACCAATTTTGGTACTCAAAATACAAACAAAAGATATACAAATGCATATTATTAAAGGATTTTCCTGGGTGGCGATCGAAGCGGCGGCAAAGCGATCTTCTCCCGTGCACGCAACTTCTTTCTTTCCCGAATTTGTTCCTCATTTTCGTTGAACCCGAAACGTGATCGCTGCTGCTGCATCTGAACATCGTTTCCCGTTGCATGCTCTCCGCTACTCTCGTCGGTCGTCGGGGTCGTCTCGTCCATTTCGTTATCTTCATTCAACATCTCCAACCCCGTGTCCGTTTCCTGGTCGCTAATGACAAACGACGCACCTTCCACCACTACACCAGCATACGTACTGCTGCTGTTTTGTTTTCTTTCACTTTGCTTTCCTTTTTCCTTTAGTTGCTTCTCCGGTTCCTTCCGAGCCTTCCTCTTGGGACAGGAAAGCTTCTGGTGTCCGTCCGCCTTGCACAGAAAACATTTATCTTTGTTGCCATCATAAAATATATTTCCTTTGCGGTTGAAGAAATACAATGACGCGGGGATTTCCTTCTTCACATCCATATATATACCGCGTATCCCTGTATAAACCTCAAAGCACAGATCAGATGGAAATTTCTCCCGGATGATGCGTTTAATTTTTCCATATTTCCCCAGCACTTTATCCAGCTCGTTGTCCGGTGCCTCTGGTGGCAAGTCATACACACGCACATACTGGATAAATTCACCAGCATGCGACATGCGTACCTTTGCCGTCGTTCCATTCGCATAATGGAAGATTAAATCCTCCGAATTGTATGTCAGAGCATGGAGCATCGCTTTCTCTGATTTGAACTTTATGAAGACTCCCCTTTCCTCACCAATGCGATAAACAGCTTCCATTTCAGCCGGATCCGCGTCGAGTGCTTTGGCGAAATTTACAATCTCTCCGATGTTTGGTTTAGCATCATAATGGCTGAAGCTAAACTTGATGGTGTTTTTTACTTCACACATCTTGCACCGTAGCAACAAAAGGCACAAACTGATAGCAACGAACAAAGAGCAACTATATAATAGCGAGTATCAAAAACAGGCTATCGCGTGGTTCACACCGAAATAAAAATTCGACTGCTGCTGTAGACAGCTGTGGGACAACTGGCAAAAAAACAAATTATAGAAAACTTTTTAATTTTTAGTTCTTTTAAGGCCATTCCGACATTCCTCGCGTAACATTTAAATGGGACCTATCAGTTTTTGTAAATAAAACTAGCCCTTTTTGCACGAACCGATGCTCGTTTAGGCAAACCAACAACACCATCGGATTGCTCTTGGTTTGCTTAGGCGAGCTTCGGTTCTTGCGAGAAGGGTATTACAAGTTTTGTTTGCAAATGCTGACAGACTCTTTTCAAATTTTGCGGTAGTTTGCATTACCATTATTACGATTTATTGGCTGTTTTAGTATTTTTGGACTGTTTTATTATTCAATTTGGCAATATTTTGGCGCATTAGACAAGTTTTGCATAATTACACTGGACATCATGGCTTTTAACCCTTCTTCCAAATAAGGATATACATGTCACTTGGAAAACCGACTTCCGATCCGAGGCCGAGTGTCATATACCAATCGACTCAGCTTAACGAGATCGGAAAACGTGTGTGTGTATGTGTGTATTTGAGTGCATCAAACGATTTTTTTTCTAAAGGGTTTAGACTAGGCAAGTCAAAATGATCAACTCAGTTGAATTCAATTGGCTTGAAAAGTTGAGCCTGGTTCAACTTTTTTCAATTCAAGTGAGTTGATCAAGTCAGTTGAATGGCATGGTTTAATTCGCGTTCAAGTCAGTTGAATTTAACTGACTTGATCAATTAAACCTGCCCTGTGTAAACCCAGATTAAGACATACCCAACAAACAATTTTAGTTGCAGACTAGCTTATACAGGCAAAAATTAGCTGTATAAGCCAATTTTTGGCTGTATAAGCTAATCTGCAGCTAAAATTGTTAGTTGGGTAGTGTGCTTTAAGCAGAAATTTCAAAGTATCTCCTTTATTCATTTATGTCGGTTTGTCGATTACTACACTGCACGAACGAAACCGACATAAATGTTTCCATCGGTTTGTATACGTACAACAATATTGACAGCACATCAATAAAACACAGCCGCAAATCAAAAACAAGGAACCTAATCCTTCACTCGACAGCTAGAGCAAGACGATCTTGGTCTATTTAAAAATCTAAACAAATTTTGTTTTATAAATAACATTTCAATCCGCCTGAAGATTATGACTACACGCTAACTTGAAAGTATCCATTAACGGGTAAAATTTCACCCGCTTTGAAGTGAAGTGGTTTAACTCATTTAATGAGTAACTATCACCCATTATTGATATTCAATGGGTTAATTTACTCATTAATGGATAACAGATATCCATTAAATGGGTAAATTTTTTAATCATTAATGAGTTGAGTCACTTTTCTACAAAATGGGGGAAATTTTCCGCATTAATGGGTACTTTCAATTTAGTGTGTTTTTGGGTTATAAATAAAAAATAATTTGAGCTTGGGCTTGATTGACCGCCCACGGTTGCTACTCTGTTACTGCCAGAGCAGCTGTAATTACACAGAGAACCAATAGACGATGCTTGGGACTAGCAATCATCCTCAATGTGTAAAAACTGGTGATCTTAAATTAGGCAATACCAGCGCCGGCCGCGCCCGAACACAGGTCAAGAAAGGAATGGGAAGGATTGTGTTGACATGACACTCGCTTTGATGGAAGCCGAGAACACCTATGCACTTCCACGAGGAATCACTGGGATGTTGGATAAGAGGGTTGGGTTTGCAGCAGGGTTCGTTTTGGTAAACGATAAGCTGAATTGA